ATCTGTTGATAAGATTATTTTACCCTTTGTTTTGTTAGTGTGATATATCACATTGATTGATTTGGGTATATTGAACCATCCCTGTGCCCGTGGAATAAATCCACTTGATTGTGATATATTTTTTAATGTATTGTTGTGTATGATTTGCTAGTCTTTTGTTCTCTTAAAATTATTTTGTCAGATATAAGTATGGCTACACCTGCATTTCTGTGGATGCTATTTACTTGGAGAATCATTTTCTACCTTTTTATTTTGAGTCTATCTTTTCATTTGCAGCTTAGATATTTCTCCTAAAGACAACATATGGCTGGGTTTTGTTTTTTATCCAATCTGATACTCTGTGCCTCTTCATTGGTGAATTCAGCCCATCTATATTTAAGGTTATTATTCAGTGTATGAGGATTTCCAATAGTCATTTATCTTTTTTACTTCTGCTAGTTCTGTGCCTCCATTGGTTCTTTTCCTTTGTGTTTCTCTGTTGTTTTTGTTTGTTGATATTCTATCATTTTCCTCTGTTTCCTCTTTTTTTCAGTTATGTGTCTCAGGGTGTTTTTATGTGTGTGGTTACCTTTAGGTTTGTTAAAAAGAATGGTTCATATATACAATAGTCTTGTTTCTTTAAAAGTGCTCTTTTAATGGTCTGTAATAATCAGTTCTCTATGATAGCTGTCAGTTTGTTCCATATATCCAAATATTTGTTAAGTGTCATGATATCGGAAAGAACATTGAACTGTGAACCAAGAATGTAAGTGATAAAACACATATATTAGAATAAAATCAAGATCCTTATAATAAATGATAAAGAAATAGGAATAGGGAATTTATGCAGGGTGAGATAAATATAAAAACAAAATAATGAAAAATATTTACTATGTAGTATCAGTAATCAAATAAAACCTATGAGATCATTTTTCATCTAATAATGCAGTAAATATGTATATAAAAATTGTGTATATAATTTTTATATGTATTAAGTATATAAGATATATTGTATAAAGATGGATAGATAGATTTTATGTAGAGTTGTTGAGACTTCGGGGTCAGTGGTACCTTTATTCACTGCTGACTGTGGAAGAGGAATGACATAAATTGGCTTAACTTTCCTCTGGGCCTATATGGACTGTGTAAGAAGGGTCCTAATTTGATCAGTACTATTTGACTCAGTAATCTCATTACTAGAAATGTACTATAATGAAAAAATCAGCAGAAGTAAAAACAAACTCTAGGCATAAAAATGATAAGAAAAATCTTTGAATTTAAGCTAAATGTATAAAATTAAGAGAATGGTTTAGTAAAACATAAAACAGACTAGTATGTATTCATTGAAACAATAATTATGAATCCTTGATAATTTGAGGGGAAACTTCATACTATGATGTTGCAACTAAACAAAGATCTGCCTATTTGTGGAGAAAATAGACAAAAACATGCAAATTTAGACTTACTTGTACTAGTGTGGTGTAATTTAGAGTGACTATCAGCTATTTTTAATGTATTTTTTGTGTTTTGTTCACTATCGATTTCAAAAGTTTTAATATATTAAAATAATTATGAGACCTCAGATTTATAATGTAATATTGCTAGGGCCTGGATTCTTACACAAATGCTGGTGTTGGGACTAGAATTCAGTACTTCTCTGCTTTCAGTGGATTTTAGATTCACCCAGGAAAGTTGTTGAAAATGCACATTGCTAACTCCATCTCAGAATTTACCTTGTTAGGTCTGGGGTGGAGTCCATGGACCTGTATTTTTAATTAGGAATAACTAAAATTTATATCCAAGTTCTCTTCCACCTATGGCACTCTGTTTTTTAATGTAGTGCTTAACATACCAGAAACACTCTATAATGAATAGGTAAATAACATTTTATCTTTTCCATTTCTTTTTTTTCTTTTACTTTATTTCTTAGCCTGAAGCAAAGTGGATTCATAAGCTGCTTTAAAAAACAACTGAGCGCTTGGTTTCACAGAATGACCTTACCACAGTAAACCCCAGCTACTCTCAAATGGGCATTTATACTTCTGTGGGCCTGTAATAAATAAAAACAAGTCTTCTGTGAGTATCAGGATCTGATTTTTTGCGTGTAATTTATAGAAGTCTTTGTAGAGGTGTGTACTTTATTCATTAAATATCTGAACTAAAGTACTGCAGTATTTTACCCCATGCTCTGAAACTCCAGTTGGAAGCAGTTTCTCAGTTTAGGTTAAAACTTGGTGATTTTCCTTTTATATTGTGTTAAATTTCTCTTCTATTTATTATTAAAAAGAGTAAATAGAACCCTAGACAGTTTTGCTAAGTGGTTAGAGCATCCTCTTATGCACGGAAGGGTTGCAGGTTTGATCCCAGCCCTGGTCGTGGTAACTGTGGGAAGCAACCTATCAATGTGTCTCATATTGATGTTTCTCTCTCCTTCTCCTCTTCCTCTCTCCCTCCTTCCCTTCCATTCTGTCTAAAATTCAATGGAAAATATATATCCTTGGGTGAGGATTAACAACAATTGAAAAAGAGTAAATAGAATGGAAGGAAGTAAGCATATTTTTCATACCCTTAAAAGAAATAGAGTTTTTTGCCCTCCCCAGTAGAGGGCGTGCAGGAGGCAGATGATCAATGATTCTCGCTAATCATTGATATTTCTATCTCTCCCTCTCTCTTCCTCACTGAAATCAATAAAAATATATTTAAAAAAGAAATAAAGTTTTATGTATATAGCAATTCTCACTTCCCATATGCACATACAGAGTTTTCAATGCAATAATTTACATTTAGACTATTTCCCTTTAGTTTATTACTTTCTTTAATAATAACCTGAAAGTGTCCCTAAAATAATAACAGACATTTGTCAATTATTTTACATATTCCCGTGGTTATGCTTGACATATTCTTTCCTGAGATCAGGAAAACACTTTGGAAGGAAAGATAAATAACAGGTGATGATGATAGATAGATGACATATAGGAGATGGATAGACGATAAGTAAATAGATAGATAGATGATTGATAGATAGATAGATAGATAGATAGATAGATAGATAGATAGATAGATGATAGAAAGAAAGAAAAATCATAGATTATTGTCTAAGTACTATAAAATGGATAGCTTTTAAAAATAAAAATTTATTTCACACAATTCTGGAGCCTGGGGATTCTAAGATCAAGGGGCCAGAAGGTTTAATGCCTCATGAGAGCCCACCTCATGGTTCATACACAGCCCTTCTCACTGTTTCCTCACATGGTAGAAAAGTACTAGTGAGCTCAGTGGATATTCTTTTATAGAAACACTAATCTAATTCATGAGGGCTGAACCCTCTCAAAGCATCTGCCAAACGCCCTACCTAATACCAACATATTGGGCATTAGGATTTTAACATATGAATTTGGGGCCATAAATATTTAATCTATAGCAATAATATATACAGAGACAAAGCTAGATATAAATATGAAAACCTCTCAGTTCACCAAGTCTGTTTTCTGCCTTTCGGGTATAATCTTCACTTCTAATTACTCTCAGAAATGACTACATTTCTGAAACAATTTTAAAGAGGTGTCATTTTTCTAGCCCATTTGATCACATACACATGTCCTAATTTACAAATAAAATGTTTTTCATTGTAACATTATAAGTAGAAAAGGTTTCAAAATAATCCAATTGTCTGTCAATAAGTGACTGATTGAAAACATAATAGTAATTTTCCACAATGGAATGCCATGTAAATGTGAAAAACAATAAGGAAGCTCTCTATGCGGTGAGGTGAAAAGATCTCCATTATAAATTTAACTAAAAAAAAAAGGTGGTGAAGGACATATATATTCTGGAGGGATCACGGGAGGTTGGCCGCTGGCCCCAGGAGGGAGCTGGCCCTGGACCCCCTGGGAAAGGGGTCATGTCTGCCACCACCCATCCCTGGTTCCCCATCCCAGCCTGGGGCCCGAAGGCCCTGGTGGGGTCAAGAGAAGAGGCGATGGTCTGGGCAAGGAAGGAATGGACGTCAGATGCTGATGCCACCATCATGTTACTCTGCCTCCCACCCTACTCCTCTCACCGCCATGCCACCACCACAATGGGTGGGCATCAATAGGGGCCTGATGTCCAGGGGGATAGATACGGCATGGGAGGTTGGTCACCAACCTTGAGGAGGGAGCTGACCCTCGGCCACCCTGGGAAAGGGGCTGTGTCTGCCATCACCCACCCCCAGTACTCCATCCCAGCTCAGGGTCCAGCCCCAATTGGGTTATCAGAGCCTGCCAGCCAGGGGGAGGAACTGCGAGAGTTTGGCCGGCCAGGGGGTAGGGACCAAAGGGGGTTGGCCGGCTGGTGGTTTGCTGTGGGAGTGCACTGACCACCAGGGGGCAGCTCCTGAGTTGAGCGTCTGCCTCCTTATGGTCAGTGTGCATCATAGTGATCAGTCGTTTCTGTCATTCCAGTCATTTGGTTGTAACAGTTGCTTAGACTTTTATATACTGTATAAACTAGAAGCCCGGTGCACGAATTTGTGCACCAGTGGTGTCCCTCAGCCTGGCCTGTGGGATCAGGCCAAAACTGGTTCTCTGACATCCCCTGAGGGGTCCCAGATTGCACAATTGGGGCCAGAGAGGGATGTGGGAGGCTGGTCAGCACGGGAAGGACTGCAGGAGGGCTCCAGGGTGTGTCTGGCCCATCTCAATCCCGATTGGTCAGACCGCAGCAGCAAGCTAACCTACTGGTCGAAGCATCTGCCCCCTGGTGGTCAATGCATATCATAGTAAGCGGTTGAGTGGCCTTAGCATATCATTGGCATATTACACTTTGATTGGTTGAACGGATAACCAGACAACTGGACACTTAGCATATTAGGCTTTTATTATATAGGACTAGAGGCCCAGTGCATGAATTGTGCACCTTGAAAGAAACTGTGGGCTGAAAGGCTGCAGTAGGAACAGGGGCAGGTCTCAGCCCATCCTCCACGCCCCTGCCCAATCCCTCCCGCCACAGCCTCTGGTCCCCTGTCTGTCAGCAGCCCTGCTCCCATCACCGTTGCTCCCATGTGCTGTTGGCGCTGACCACACTCACACCCATTGATGGTGCTGAGTGCTTGGGGCCAGTGCCAGCAGCAGGTGAGAGAGCCAGGCAGGACCATGGCATGTGGGAGCAAATAATTTTCAGTAACCACCAGAGGCTTGCCCTGATGACAGCGACAGGTGCCCCGCCTTGGTCTGGCGCCCCTGCTCACTTGCCCCACCATCCTGCCACAGCCAACAGCTGCCATGTTCTGCATATGCCCCCTGGTGGTCAGCACACTTAATAGCTACCAGTTCGGTTGTTCCATTAGGTCTAGTCTATTTGC